TATGTTTAATTAAAAAATTAGGTTTTATTTAAATAATAAATTTATTAAGTTATTTTGATTCTATAAATATTAAAAATTAAATCGAAAAAATAAAAATAAAAAAAGAAATGATGACATTGAAATTAGTGGATGTTGCAACATTTTGTTTATTTCCTCACTTGATGTTATAACATCATGGATGACATGATAAATTAGGTGACACTTTTTTGGTATGATAACTAGGTGTGAGATCCGTGTATCACACGAGGTTATTAGAAATAAAAATTTAATACATATATATATATATATATATATATATATATATATATATATTAATTATTTTATAAAATAATGCTTTTCCATAACAAAATGTAATCTTTTGGAGCATTTATGAAAGAAATCAAATCGTTTGGATCCTTTATGAAAATTCATTATCAATTTAAGCTTATATATATATAACCCATTAGAATTTTTTGGAAATTTATTTTAAGAAAAAATTTAAATCCTCAAAAAACGACAAGTGGAAAATAACAAATTTAAAAATTATAGAAAATGATGTGTGTCAAAATGTAGGAGAAGATGACAAGTATCAAAAGTATTTTCATTTATTAGATAGGATATGTCTTAACATGTTGTCCACACCCATCAACCTTACGAACCTAAATAATAATATTTTATATTTATATGTTATATTTAATTCTTTTGACAAATTATTACAAATTAAATACTCACCAAACCTTTTTAGATTTCCGTGAATTAAATGTCTACCTAAAATAGAACTACCCGACAATAAATACTTACCAATCCTTTCAATACTTCTATTTTTAGAAAATTTAAGGAAAAATTATAAAGAATACATATAGTTATATAGAAAATAAGAAAAAAAATGTTGATCAACTAAAAAAATGACTTGTTACTGCACAAGCTGTAAAGTTTGAAGAACTCAAATGTGAGAAAACTCATTTGAATAATCATCTAAGCTTTCATTTAAGCCAATTTCGTGATTTCATTATACAACATTGGATCCTTGTTCTACTAATAGCTACTTGTACGTTATGCATTGGGATCCATACGCTCAAAGATACAATTACAATCCATGATTTAAAGGACCTGTGGTTGTGGGGTTACTTCAAGTAAAACAAAACCTCAAGAAAATGACATGACTTTGTACATTGAGATTGGATGATTCACCCGTCGACACCCCTTCTACCCTCACATCAATGAAAGTTATGATTGTCATAAAAACTTCAATATAAATCTCAGCAACAACGACCGGATTCTGCTCGACAATGGCCAGGTTATTTCCCTCGTTCTCCGCAGCTTGCAGCACTCCCATTTGGGCTATCATAAAATATCGGAGCCACCAGTGTAACATCCCAGAAATGTCTTTGAATTGGTAAAATGGTTGTGTGAAATGGTAGTATGTACAAGAAAGGTAATTTGGTCAAAGAGGTATTTTGATCATTTTGAATGAAAGATATGTTGAATATGATGCATTTACAGTTCTTAATGGAAATATACTAATTTGTCGTGCATAAAGTGGGAACATTAAGATAAATGCTACAAATAAGTGAAATATAAATTTTTTATAAAAGTGATAAGTGTCCTACTTTTAAGACTATATGAATCGGGCTTAAAGTATGAGAATTGTGAATTAAAGGTTTCAATGGAAAAGATAAGACAACACATAAAGTAATTCAAAATATTCAAGTCATTAAAATGAAAAAGTTATTCTATTTTGAAGTTAATATGTTCTACATTGTGATGATTTTGTATCTAATGACCTATGTTTGAGGCCATTGAACTTGAGCTTAAGAGCACCAAGTGAAGAGATTCTTGATTTTAAAATGAACCCAAACAAGGAATCAATAAAAAAACGCATTCAAATCTGAGTTCATATAAAAGTTATAAATGTTTAAATTGTTGGAGAAAAAGTTTACCTGAAATAACATGCAATAGCCTTCTGTGATTTTCCAACACCCAAATTTTGATTGTAATGTAAAAAATCAGAGTCCGTATGAAAATGTTATGAAGGTTCAAAGTTGAATCCCAATAAATTACAACCAAGTCGATAAGAGAAACCTCTTTGTGCTCCAAACGATCTTTATATACTTCTTAAAGAACTGATAATGGAAAGTTATCGAGAAGTTTGTCCTAAAACAAAATAATGAAAGTTATTAAAGTAAAAGAGACAAAAAAAAAAGACCTAATAATGACAAAAATATAAAAAGAACAATGGAAAGTTACCACCCTAAAATAAAATGATGGAAGTTATTATTAAAAAAAAAAAGACCTAATAATAACAAAAATATAAAAAGAACAATTATTGGCATCCTTTCTCTCGTTTGTCATGTCATGCTCAACCCATTCCTTGCTAAAACCCACGCTTTGAAATCACCGGCAACAACAACACAAAGCATTGAACTCCATAGAGCTCAACGAATTGTCACATCTCATTCACTATTTCATACAACTAATTTGATGAAGATTTGTCAATTGTTGGACATAACGTTTTAACCTTCCTTGAGGAACATAATAATATAATAAGCTTCCAGATTTGGAACATCAATGTCATATTTATTGCACAATAATGTGCCTTTGTTCATATGGGTATCCCATCCAAGATCTCTCATGCAAAACTCCATTAGTCACTGAAACAAGTCTCATAGCATTAATAATGTCTTGATCTTTTCTTTGCAAAGTAATACACAAATGGTTGATGTATCCAAATACATTGGGTTTTTGCTTTATCATCCTAATTTGAACCACTTTTTCCAAACTTCATAAGTACTTCAACAATTGTAGGAAATAAGTTAATGCCTTTTAAAATAGTTTTGTAGTGATAACCCCAATGAGTTTTACCCAGTCTCTTCAAACTAAGTTTTTTATTTAACTTTGATCTTGGTCTAATTTCACCCATTTCTAATGCTTGAGCTACTTTTTGAGCTTGAATTTGAATTCTCAAATCATTTCTCTCCTTTTACTAGATACTCCAACAACATTTAACAATGTTGCAAGTATATCAAAAAGCCAAGCACAGTCACTATTCTATTTAACAATTGCAACAAGTGTTCGTTGAAACTGATGAGCAAAACAACGAACTAGGGGTGAGCAAAAACCGAACCGACTAAAGAAAAACCGACAAAACCGCAATAAACCGCAACCGAAAAACCGAAACCGATGCAAAAACCAATGGTGCGGATTTAATTTTTGCAAAAACCGAGGTCAACGGTGCGGTGCGGTTTCTATCCAAAAAACCGGTCCATCAAAACCGAACCGCACCGCAAGCGTGTATAGTAATAAATCAATTAATGTATATTATATACATTCTATTCAAAATTGTTATAAACGATAATATATTTATTATATGTTTATTTTGTGTTTGTATAAAACTATATGGGGTGCAAAAAAAATATTCTATTGTTAGTCAAACGTACTAATCGATTACATGTAATAAGCTTGTAACAAATTAAGTCAAAATCAACCAACCTTCAATCATTAATTAGTTTGTGAGAGTGGTCACAAGTTGTATTTTAAGTGACTTACTATTTTTGATTATGTAATTTTGTTTTTAGCTGAAAATGAATGTATTTAAAAAAACAACACAATACAAGCTTATATGCACATTGTTTTCGGTTCTTGCAGTTTTAAAAAACCGTACAAAAAAACATAATAAAAAATAAAAAAAAAAAAAAAAAAACTGCACCAAATTCTTAACACGGTTTAAAAACCGAAATCGCACCGATACAAACCGAAACCGCATTTAAAAACCGAAAAACCGAACCATTGCAAAACCGCACCCAACGGTTTTAAGAATGCAAAAACCGCACCATGTGGTTTGCGGTTCGGTTTGATCTGAAAACCGCACCAAACCGCACTATGCTCACCCCTACAACGAACATAATAAGCACTAGGACTTTCAACAATATTTGAAGTCTTTAAATTTCATTTTCTTTAACATAAATTGTGGAAGATCTACTTGTTTTCCAGTTGATTTTTTTTATATGGATGGATTACTCATTATTTCAAACAAAACTTAACATATAAAATTAAGAAAATCAATACTCTAACCAATAATCAATAACATAATAACGATAAATTTATAACACAAATTAAATTCTAACTTCGTAACTTTCATTTTCTAAAAGCATGAAACAACAAAGAATTTTTAAAAACGTTAAAAAAACATACCTGGTGAGTAATGAAGATGAAGTCCCTATTTGTTTGCCATCAATAACTTACCGACAAGGTAAGTAGGTAACGTCAAAAGGAAATATTGAAACGTCAAAATTGGAACTAGGCAATTAAGGTCCGTAACTAAGAAAAACAATTACTATTACGACAATTTACATATAAGCAATCCATTACGACAATGTTTTATGTGTGATTTTGATACTAGGTTTCTGGTCCGCTGAATTTCCATCTTCACCTCGATCACCGCCGGTAGCTAGCCGGAATCACGGGTTCACATCACATGGACTAACCAAGTAAATAATGGAAACTTTGAGAATATAAGTTGACGCTGAAAAATGTAGGGACTAAAGATGGTTGTCTTGAAAGAAGAAGGGTCTGGGAGAAGATTCCAGGGTTATAAATGAAGGCGACGAGTGAAAAGACAACACATAATATTATATTCGTTTCACTCCCATCGTTCCATTTATGTCTATGTACGAGTCTCGTTCGTTCCATTGATCATTTGAACTAGTTTATGGAGAAATCAAATTTAGTCATATAAACTGTAATAATCTGCTTTATACTTTCGCATAATTCATTGTGGATTTGCTTGGTTTCCTTACAAACTATCGAAACACCTTGATTGGAGCTCATCCAAAACTGAGGTATAGAAACTTGTTAATTAAACTCCATATATATTGTGTGTGTGTGTGTATTTTTCTTAATTTCTGGAACGATTACGGAGGCTAAATGATTTAAATCCTTTGTTGAGTTAATGAGTTCATGTTACGAACAGATCTCTAAGTCGGAGACGCTAGCTAGCAAGTAGACAACCAGGTCGTTGAAGTATGAAAGTGTTGGTGACAGGTGCTTCAGGTTTCTTAGGTGGAAGGCTCTGCCATGCGCTCCTCCGTCGTGGCCACTCTGTTCGGGCGTTCGTCCGTCGCACCAGCGATCTCTCCTCCCTTCCTACTCTGTCCGACGGCGTACCTCTAGAACTTGCCCTTGGTGACGTTACGGACTATCCGTCACTTCTCGCAGCTTGCTCCGGCTGCAATGTGGTTTTCCACGCCGCTGCTATAGTGGAATCATGGCTACCGGATCTTTCAAAATTTATATCTGTAAGCTTATAAATAGGCTTTAGACTAAAGTTTTGATCAGAAAAATATAATATCCGATTACAATGATTAATAGGTGAACGTTGGAGGTTTGAAAAACGTACTTCGAGCGTATAAGGAAACGGATACGATAGAGAAGATCATTTATACATCGTCGTTTTTCGCTTTAGGATCCACTGACGGATATACTGCCGACGAGACTCAGGTGAGGTCACTGCATCTTTATGTTATAAATGTAATATCTTTTTATATTTTATAAACGCAAAACATTAGATTTTTGAATCTAAATATAATTGTTTTTTGTGCATGAAAGATGCATTCAGCCAAGTTTTTCTGTAGTGAGTACGAGAAATCAAAAGCTGTAGCTGATAAGATTGCTCTAGAAGCAGCAAAGGAAGGGGTACCCATAGTCGCTGTTTGTCCTGGAATTATCTACGGACCTGGTAAAATCACTGCTGGGAATGTTGTGGCTCGATTGGTAATTTAATTTCGTAAAAACAACTTTAGTATTATTTAACTGGTTCAAAACTTGATAATTAGTTGAGCAAGCATATATTTAGTGTACTGATAGGATAGGAGCTTTAATTTCATGTTTTACGAAAATTTATGATTTTTTTAAATTACAAATGTTTAAATATTTAAATAAATAAAAATAATAATAAATGCCATGCCATAGTGATCATATTACTTGTGTGTGACAAAAAAAAAAATGCCGTGGGCAAATTTTTATGCTAAAAAAAAAACTTTTATTATTAACTTTATGTTGGTTATGGTAGTAAATGGGGCTCGGATTATCCTTCTAATCCATTTAACCATATTTAACGATTTTAATGGTTAATTCTATTAATTTTTTTTTTTGCAAAATCAGTCATAAAAATTTAAACTTTGTCTCTCTAATTTGTAAAAAATTACACCACATTTCCAAAACTCGGTTTCGTATTTTTTAAATTCTTTATTTTCATTTATTTTTTATTTTTCAGTCAAAACTAAACTTGTTTTTATATTTTTTTCATTGTTTACATTTTTCCCTTTTTTGTTTTTTTTTATATTTTAATTTTTTTTATTTTTTTTCGTTTTTTATATTCATTTATTTTTTATGTTTTTTTTCATTTTTTTATTTTTTTAGAAAACCAAAAGAAACTCAAACACCAAAAATATAATATATTCTCATATATTCATACACTTTGCACTTTTTTAAAAATACAAAAAGAAATTATCAAATTAACAAAAAAAATAAAACGTAACAAAAATACGAAAAAAAAAAACAAAAAATTACAAAACAAATACGAAAAATAGAAAAAAGAATATTCATACACTTTATACTTTTTGAAGAATATCATAAGAAGTTGCCAAATTGACGAAAAACACAAAAATATATAAAAAAAAACTATAAAAATATAAAGAAAGTTTAGTTTTGACTAAAAGATAAAAAATAAATGAAAATAAAAAAGTTAAAAAATATAAAACCGAGTTTTGGACATATGGTGTAATTTTTTGTAATTTTTTGCAAACTATATGAATCAAATTTAAACTTGTAAGCAAAAAATTTGATAAATTCAACAATGAAATTCCTTAAATGGGCTAAGAGTCCGAGAGCCAACAAAAAAAATAATAAAACTTTTCTTAGTTACACGGACAAATTTAATAGTTTTTATGGTATTTGACCGAAAATTGAAATAGCATTGAGGGTTTCTTTATGTTAAAAGTGATTTTCAAGAAAAATGTTTATTAACTTATGGTTTTTAAAAAACTGGTTTTAAAAAGTATTTGGATGTCAAAATCTGTTTTTCAAAAATAAAATGTTTAAAAAGTTAGAATTTTTCAGCATTTTAAAAGCTTTATTTTTTCATATACAAAAAAGCTGTTTTAAAAAATATTTTTTAAATATAAATTATTAACTTTTTAAAAAACGTAATAATTTTTTTTTTAAAAGCTATCACAAATACCAAGAGTACTATTTAAGAGTATGTATTTAAGAAGGGAGCCGCCAGTCCAGAAGAATTGCCATGTTGTCACAATCTACCCTGCTCAGCTACCAGCTGCAACAATTCGCTCCATCTTTGACAGCCCAATACACTCAGCCTAGATTATCCAGCCCACATAAAACACAATCCAACTCACATGCGAACATAAACAGATTATTAGAAACCAAATAATTAAACGTCTACTAATATTATTATTTTTCAAGTTTAGATTGTAATTTTACCTTATTATTTTGAATACAACAAATTAAATTTCATGCATATATGGTTCTGAACTTACTTACGTACTAACATACACCCTTTTTTACTTGTTTACAATTAGATGGTTGAACGGTTTAATGGACGCATGCCTGGGTATATAGGTGATGGAAAGGAAAGCTTCTCTTTTACTTATGTAGAGGATGTGGTAAATGGTCACATTTTGGCTTTAGACAAGGGCCAACCAGGCCAAAGATATCTTCTTACGGGTGAAAATGCATCCTTCACGCAAGTTTTTGATATTGTTGCCACTATAACCAACACCAAAAGGCCTTCCCTTAAAATTCCATTGTTCGTGATGGTGGTTTATGCATGGTTGTTAGTGCTTTTCTCTAGAATCACCGGACAACCTCCACTCATCAGCCCCCCGGTATATATTTACATTTCCATTTCCATTTCCATTTCCATTTCCATGCATGCATGCTTTATTTACAAAATTGTAATTTTTTTGTTCCGTTGACATACTTTTGTTCATAACAAACATGGAACATCACATTGATGTTACTTTAATTTTTTTTTGCCTATAATATAACAATCATTTGTTATAAATATGAAACAGGCTGTGTGTGTAATGAGACACCAATGGGCTTATTCGTGTGAGAAGGCTAAGAGAGAACTTGGGTACAAGCCGAGGAGTTTGAAAGAAGGTCTAGAAGAGATTCTTCCTTGGTTGAAGAAATTGGGCCTGATTAAATACTAACACTATCGATTGGGCTTATTATTGTGCACGTATGGGATTAGCATTTGGCATACATGTGTTTCTTAATTAAGCGTCTATGTCGTCATTTAGCAACCATATTTTTTTATGTGCTCGTCTACTCAAATTTCTCAGTTTAATGTGAGGGATGAACACCACTTGTAGAAAAATTATAACTATCGTAACCTTAGGACAAGTTTTACCGGTATTATATGTGTTTATTTGACATGTTTTATGACTTTATCCGTATGGCATCCTTTTCAATAAGTAACTTTATCTGTATTTTATTTTACTGTTTATTTATTTATAAATATTATTTTATTTTGTAATTTTTATTAGTTGTTTAAAAAACAGAATTGACCTTTCAGTTCTTCCTTTCGGTCAAAACCAACCCACCATCGTTGATTTGATGCACAAAAAAACGCAATCTTGCATAGAATTCGAAATCGTGAAACCGAAAGGCCAGTTTGCATTGATCGTTGAGGAACTGAGGAAAACATGCCGAATTACAGGCTTTGAAAAGTTATGATACAGCAGAGCCCGCAGTAATCATCCGGCCCAAACTGGTCTCCAACCAGATCATCACTCACTAGCACTAAGCCCAAAGTGAAAAGGATTTTTTTAACCGGCAGGAAAAAATTCGAACAGGTTAGGAAAGTTTTTCCGTCAATGTTTTGAAAACGGGACCGGATACCAAACCGGTTGTGTTACCGGTTCGTTGGTTCAACTGGTTCAACTGGTTTGACCGGTCCCAAAAACCGGATGAACCAGATGATGTCATAATAATTTATATGAATAAAGTCCTAATAATTTATATGTGATTTTTTTTCTTAAAGTTTTTTTTACAGAGATAATGAATAAAGTGAAAAAAAATATTAGTAGCTAATGTCGAATGAAGGAGAGGAATGTTGAGTATTTTGAATGTTAGTCTTCATCCCACGTCGGAGAGTTAAAAGAAATGGAACGGCTTTGAGGGTTCTATAAAAGGAATGCCAAAAAGAAGTGTTAAGTCTATGTGAGTCGCACAGATAAAAATGTAGGCTGGTATAAGTTTTATAATGGTTATTTATAATAAAAGTAAAACCAAATATTTAATTAAAACCGGTTGAAACTTCTCGATTCGACCCCGATTCACACAAAACCGTCAGTTTTCAGTGGTTCAACATGCAAGCGGTTTTTAGATCCTAAAGATCCGGTAACCTGATCGGTTCTTGGTTGAACTGTCCGTTCCGGTTTTCAAAACAATGTTTTCCATCCATAACATTTTTTAAATTGAAAAAATAACAAAATTTCACTTAAAAACATGAAAAAACCGAACCAAATTTTCAATAACCAGTTTTTTTTAACCGAACCAATTTAAAACCAATGTGTGTGCACCTCTAGTAATAAGCATGTTCTCGTCCGCTATCTCAATGTCCACACTTATTTCCTGAATTTTAACTCAATTATAGGGCTTAGCTGATACTTAATATCATGTAATTTCATCCGGTGAATCAATCCATAAAATTGCTCCCAAATTGGTGCTTTCATCATCTTCTCATCATGCCTCCACATTGCCAAACACCCACCATGGAAGAATCCATGCAAGCTATGGTCAAGAAACTAGAACAACTCTTAGCAGTCGCCATCGCATCCATCACACAGAATGCCGCCAATCATGACACGCTTTCATCTAAACTCAACAATCAAACCAAAGTGGCTGCCACACTCTTAAATTCCTTCATTAAATCTGATAACAAAGCACACTCGTCAACCCCATCGAAACATACTACATCCCAAAAAAAATCCTTAATTATCCAACTTTGACATATCCAACCCCTAAATTGTATATTCCAAGCCAAGAACTGCTTTACCTACTACATCTAACTACCACAACAATGCATTCCCCTATATGTATTATACTTCACGTATTTATCTTCTACTTCACGGGTGACACATTGAGTTGGACAAGCACCTTACCTACAACCACCTACCAGAAACATGGCCTGAATTTTCTCGTTCTTTAGATATCTGATTTAGACCTTCATCTTATGAGACTCATCAAGCGACGCTCTTCAAACTCCACCAAACCACCACTACACCATCCATCCTTACACCCTCCTACCGACACCACTAAAAATCAACCTCGTTTAAAAGATTATTTGTTAATGCCTTATAAAAATGACATGTGGAAGGACTTTATTTCTAATGCCCTATAAAACTCTTGGCTATAAAGTCACAACCCTCGTCAATTCCAATAATATTCACAACATTCTTCAACCACAAATAATGTCCGATTATGGTTGGTAGAAGACTATAAACTCTTGGCTACATGTAACGCCCCGACTCTCATATAATAATTTTATGGCTTTAATTTTCATAATTTGCAAGGTCTACTTGACGAGTTGGATGCCCTGATTCCTCGAGTAGAAGCGGGTTGGACCACGTGTTTAAGTGACTTACTCGCCGAGTTCAAGATAGGACCCGGTGAGTAGGAGCTGGAGGATGAAACCCTAATTTATGGGGTTTTGCACCTTATTTAAAGGATCATTAGCCTCCCTTAGCCCCCTTACAACCTCTTGAGAGTCTATCGAACCCTAATCCGTATGTATGCTCCATTTTTGTGTGTTTTAAGCTTTGGAAGTTGGATCTTAGCGAGAGGAGCTTGAAGATCAAGTAACTAGCAACAAGGTACATGCGTGGATATGAAGTCTACCTCAGTTTAGTATCATTGGAAGGTATCAAGTCGTTATATTGACCTCATTTCCTTCTAGATCTCATTTGGTTAAAGATTAGGGCTTTCCTAGCACATTAGGAAGCTAGTAGTGGGTATGAGCTAAGATATGAAGTTGTAACTTCAGATCTAAACTCTCTTTGGTCTCTAAGTCCATAAAGCTTCCAACTTTAGCAAGTGTGAACCTCCCCTTAGGTGTAAAAACTCCATTTCAAGCTAGTTTTTGACATTATAAGTCTTTATAGCCTTGCATGCACGTAAAGTTTGCAAATTTACATGATAAATGTAACGCCCGTAGATCCAGGCTAGTCAATTTAGAGATAATAAGGGTCGAAAACAATTTTTCGACAAAATATTATTTAGAATAAATATTCTTAACCAAGTTGTAGTATATGTTACAAGGTTTTCGTACATATAAAGAACACTGAAATCCGAGTTATAACAAAGAAGTTATGGCCCATCGAAGGTTTGCGACGGAACCGGCAAGACACCGAGAAATGTAAATAGTGAATTTACGATAGAACAATATTCAGCCTTAGCGATCTAAACGAAAGTCGTAGAATACGTTAAACCAATAGCATCCATAAAAAGAATGCTCAAATCTGACTTCGTATTAGGAAGTTATGATTTTTCGAAGTTTCGGATTAGCAGTGTACAACCCGAAATTCGAATAATAGATCAAGCGGTTTTTAGCCTACATGACCTAAACAAGAATCGAAGATCTCGTTAAGAGTAGCATAACGAGAAAAATATGGGCGAAAACGGACGTCGGATAAAGAAGTTATGAGAATTTAACGGACCAATCCTGTCTCGGCCTGTTAATAATGTAAATTTTAAAATAATTTCAAAGTTAGCCGACAGAGTCTAAACAAAAGTTGTAGAGTACGTTCCCGCCTTCGCGTGGATATAAAGAACGTCAAAAACGGAGCTCGTATGCGAAATATACAAGTTTTTAAAGTTTGTAGTCGAAAGTATGAAGTCTGATAAGAACTTGATGACGTGGCAGCATCTGGGCCATCCGATGTTGGTTCAGGAGTCGCTTCGGATGAGTGACACGCCACCCTCGCATTACGCCCAACGTCCGAGCTCGGGTACGCGCCGCGTACAGCTGCCCTCTGCGGTTTCGAGACGTCCATGATGACCCACCCCCTTCGCGACATGTTTTGTATGACCGAGGTTACGCCCTGCGTCCGAGGACCTGTACGCCCAACGTACGTCCGAGGACCAGCCTATAATAGGGTTGCAAGGGCTGTCATATTTTCTTACAAATTCACCCCAACTTTCTCTTTCTACTGTCTCTCACTACCCCATAACCCCCTCCTAAGCCTAGGTAAACCCCCTACCACCCGAAGGAAGCCCTGAGGCTCCCAGAGTCCTGAGACAAAGGGTTTTTCGGTTTCGGAAACGCTGCTCCAAGCAAAGCCCGGTTTCTTTAAAATCCGCTGTAAGTGAGCTACGTTTACGCAATTTTTAATGTAGCTTTCAAATAATTATAGTAATGTTATTAGGTCCTTAAAATAATTATTTGGGCTATTATTATGAGTTATATAAGTATCGTTTAACGCTTATATAATAGTAATATTAGTTAGACTATTAATTAGTCGCGGTTATCGTTAGACTAAACCCTAGTGGTATTAATACTAGGTTTTATCGAAGGAAAATTGTTTTGAGAGTATCAAAGCGCTGTCCGAGTGCTGAGTCACCACCGTATCAGGTGAGTGCATGATCTCTTTCATCTTACACGTAGATATGAAGTATTTTAATATAAATTATGTGTTATGTGTGCATATTATATGAATACTTGTTGTCTATGCTGGTGAAAGATTTTTATACATGTTTTAAATGATTTAAATTGTATAAAGTATTTTATATCTACAAAATATATTGGGTAAAACATGGGTAGATGAATGATGAGGGGTAAAAGCTGAAATAAAGGAACATTAGTAGTATGGACCTAGTGCCCTATAGGTAAACATTGGCAGCAATGGACCTAGTACCCTATAGATGAGCACTGGCAGCTGCGCCACAACCCGTAGATGTTTTAGATTTACGGTAAACGTCTTAGCAGTTGCGCTCTAAGGACAGTATCGGCAGTTGTGCCTAATAGGGAGCCTTATGACCGTGACAGTAACGTTTAAAGGTCAATACCGGTAGAAGCGCCTCATAGAAAAAGTCTTAATTCTGGAAGTTGTGCCCAAGTGGTAATATTAGCAGCTGCACTTGACCACTGTGTCATTGGCAATAATGGACTTCATATGGTTTCCTTAGGATGATCCTTAGGAATGAATGAACAAGTGTTTGCTGATCCTTAGGGTAAATCCTTAAGAAGATAATGGGAATGGGTAATTGGGTTGATTGTTTGATGTTTAAATATAATAATTATATAATTGTGGATTGAAAACCCTATGTACTCACCAAGTTTCCCAACATGACCCACTCAGTTTATTTGTATCACAGGTGTTGATATGAAGTTACATTACACTGAGAGATTTAAAAGAGATGTAGATCACTAGTGTAAATGGATGTATGTTCTATTTATG